TTTTTGGTTTCCAAGGTCCTCCGCGACGAAACCATTGGTACGTCGAGGAGTGTCGCCAAACTACTGCTGCAAACAACGCGCCCTATAAAAGGACGCTGCAGTCAGCAGCAACGCAAACTGTGCTTGAACAATATCGGGAGATGTTGAATGTAGAGAGGCATCTATTCGAACGGAAGAAACTAGATCAAGAAAGGCGCGAACGAGAGTAAATCGAGATGTGTAGAAACAGAAATGATGTCCGTAAATTTTATCAAAAAGTCAATCGTCTGACTCAAGGCTTTAAGCTTTGTGCATGAAAATGGTGATATGGCTACAGATACACAGAATGTACTGAAATGATGTACTGAATGATTTCTGGCGATGATAACATCAATTCTGCCTTTGGAGAAATGATCAATGGTGGAACGCCCATGTCAAAAGCCGCATTGATAAGACCCAATCAAAGAGTTGGCATGTGGCTTCAACCTTTCACACAACACAGTTGAAAGAACCTTGTATGCGACAGGTATTATGCTGATCCCGCAATAGTTACCCCAAATCGTCGGGTCACTGGGCATACTTTCATCTAACTGTATTCTGCAGATAAACTGATGCATGCACCCTATCAGCATATCGCCGCCGGACTTGTACAATTTACCGCATTGTTGTTCTTAAGTCGCTGTATAACAATACGCACTTCGTTATGGTCTGGTGGTGGCAATTTATTATCATCATTTTCCATTGAGAACTTCGAGAGCATCAGAGATCAGACGAAGAATCACCATTGCTAATAGGTGCTACTACGGGCTCAGTAGGCAATTGTATGGTGCAGTAGCATGGACGTTATCACAGAATTATGAAGCAGCGCTGGGAGTGTTCGAGAGAAAAGTTCTTCGTAAGATCTTTTGTCCTTTACGAATTGGCGACGACTACCTGTACGAAATTTATCATGACATTGTTTGAAGTAGTAGGTGGCGGAAGAAGACGTAGAGCTAGACCGTAAACTCCGTAACGGGGTGTTATGGCTAAATAAGTAAGTAAGTAAGTACATCCATTTAGCTTTAATTGCACTGAATGATTGCAACGCTAAACGATTTTTTATCAAAGCCCTAATTTCACCAGGTTAGCTCAACTTAAAACTACAAATTCTCATATTTAGCATTTAATAACAATCGCAAATTTGTATTTTATTAGTAAAAATCAACAATTTTTTATGAAAAAAAATTTTTATTATAAACAAATAAATTATCTATGTAGCAAATTATAAGTCAAATAAAGCATATAATTAGCATTATTATGTGCAAATATAAAATTCACAATTTTTAATTGAAGTACTAAAATTTTTATGATATATTGTAGTGTTCAGTTATTGTAGAATTATAACTAGAAAAAGAATTATAATTATTTACTACACAATATACATAAATTTGAATTAAAACTGTTAACGTTTTTATTAATGTGTTAATTAACTAAGCAAATATTGAAAGAAACCTAAATCTTATGTTCTCGATAATAGCATTATTATTAGATTTTGTTAGGCTATCATACTGTGACGGAGAAATGTAAGTGTAATACGCTAAAATTATTCTGTGAAACAAATTTTAAAAATATTTTCAACTTCTATAACTTCGTATAGGAATCTTAAAAAGTATTACTGACAAGGCACATAATAAGAATATTTTTTTAATTGCGTACTAGATCTACAATTGGAATGATAATAGGATAATAAAGGTAATAGCTACATGTGCATAATTCGTACATCTATCGCATTTATGATTATGCAAAATTTTGTATAACATGTCAAAGTCTAATAAAACGAATTAAACTTTTTACTTTCATAATAATTAATTCTTTTGTTGCAGGAAGTTATTTTTTCGTACTTATGAACTACATTTAGTAAATAACAGAAATTTGTTTTATAAAATATCGCATTTATTTAACATCCTCTTAATAATGCTTTAACTAGAAGTACATAAATCATAAAATAAGGTTATACATATATTTTACATAAACGTTCATTTATTTATTAATTCTACTTTGTAAGTAGGTTTCTTGTTAGTAGCACATATATGCACTTCTATATAAATCGCTTTGCTTAGATTTACAACAAAATCTATTTAAATAGTTAAAATTTTGTGTCGTTTCTATATATCTTTTTTATTCGAAATATTCGATCGCGTTAAGCATAATGATTTGTTTATTTTTTTTATAAATTTTAATTGTTCCGTATATAAAGTGGTAAGTCATAAATAAATAACGTTCTGACCTAAAGTAAATTTATTTAAGTAAATTATATAGTAATAGATGTTTTGTATTTAAAGTTTTAACATATATTAATTTATTTTAACTTTATAATTAATATATGTATATCAAAATAAAGGTACATAATATTGTTATTGAACAAATTTATGTAATTAACATTATTTAATAAAAATTATCTGGGTAACATATAAGATATTTAATTAAAATCATTCAAACTAAAAGACAAACGAATGTTCGACGTTGTTAAAATAATCTGCTATTAGAAACAATGAAATTGTAATCATAATTTGAAGAAAAATTATCTTAAAAATGTATTTTGAACAACGTGCATTGTTTTTAAGTATGAATAGTCATATTCTTGCAGCGAGCTCAAAATTCAATTCCATGTTTGTAAATTATTGCTCGTTGTTTATTATTATTATTATTATTATTATTATTATTATTATTATTATTATTATTATTATTTATTATTATTATTATTTATTATTATTTTTTATTATTATTTGTATTATTATTATTTATTATTATTTATTACTTATTATTTATTATTATTATTATTATTATTTATTATTATTATTTATTATTATTATTATTATTTATTATTATTTATTAATATTATTTATTAAATATTATTAGTGTTATTTATTATTATTATTATTATTTATTATTATTATTACTATTTATAATTTTATTATTATTTTTTATATTATTATAATTTATTATTTATATTATTATTATTTATTATTGTTATTTATTATTATTATTTATTATATTTATTTATTATTATTATTTATTTATT